ATATTTTTGTTGTTGGTTTCCATTCCGTTGTTGGACATACCAACAAAGTGAAATTAACTACTTGTTGTAACAGAATTTAATTGGGATGTGATTAATTTATTTTGTTGATATAAAAGTGAAATTAAATTTTTATCATTTTGACGTAATTGTTTTAACTTTTTAATAGTTTTAGACAAGTTACTTTTTTTATTATTAAATATATTGGATTTTGATTTTTTAACTAATGTTGTGGTTTTATTAATACAATTATTTTCATTCGATTCTATATTATTGTTATTATTATTGTTATTATTATTATTATTATTTAATGAGGTGGCATTATTATTATTATTTTCTTTGATTACTGAATTTGTAATTTTTGAAACGCATTTGATAACCTCGGTTTGAATTGGTAAATTATCTAAAAGCATGACAACTTTAAATAAGCTATTTTCATGTTGTGACGATAATGCCAATATTCTAGTCTCGATAGTAATAACTTCACTGCTTATGTAAATGTTATATTCTAATGGACTAGCCTTTAATGTATTTACTGGTGCGAGATCGTTTTCATATACCAATTTTAACGAAACTTTATCTTTGGTTAAATTTTCGAATGATGTTTTACTTTGTTTATTTTCAACAACAATAGTAAATGGCATATTTTTAGTGACAACAACTGTATTATCTCCGCCCCTAACAATATCATTTAATTTAATATTAAATTTATTATTATAAAATTTGGTGATTGTCATTTTATTATTATTATATTTATATTTATATATTTATATATTTATTATATTTATTTATTTAAATATTTGGTTAAAAAAAATAGAAACAACAATAAAAGTTTACTATTATTATAAAATGTGATTATTTAAGAAAAAGCAAAAAATAAAACAACAAACTTTGCTATATATAAATAAAATATAAATTTATATTTGTATTGAAGAAATTATAATAAAAAAAAAAAAAAATTTATATGGAAATAAAATTTTAATGTATGGGAAAAAAAAAAGAAAAAAAAATTAAAAATAAAAAAAAATAAAATAAAAAAAAATTAAAAAAAAAAAACTTTTATTGTTGAATTTTTAACAAAGACGCATAATTTTATAACTCCAAAAATATCTTTTTTTTTTTTTTAAAAAATCAAGATGAATATATACATTAACTTTACTCTTTTTTAAAGAGGAAATAATTATAATTTATTAAAAATTATTTAATTACAAACACAATTTAAATAAATATTTTACAACTATAAATAAAACTTTAAAAAATAAAAAAAAAATAAAAAATAAAAAAAAGTTAAAAAAAAAAATAAAAAAAAATAATTTATTTTTATTTTTTTATTTTTTATTTTTTAATTTTTAATTTTTTGCAACAAAAACAAATTAATTTTTTAATTACACAGTAACAATGACAGAGTTATCAAAAATAAAAAAAAGAAATATTATCAAATTGGTGCAGGAGGGACACAGCAAGTCATCAGTTGCACAAAAATATAAATGCCATCGACATACAGTTTCCAAAATTGTTAAAGAATTTGAAGAAACGGGGGAAATTTCGGAATCTACCAAAGTGGGAAGACCAACTTTACCAAAAAAGAAGAAACAATGGGTATATGTAGGAAAATAAATCTCTGGAAAAAAATAAAATAAAATAAAATAAATAAACAAATATTAATTGATAAAATTGTAAAAAAAGAATAGATATTTTTTTTTAAATATTTATTTTAAATATTAAAATTTCATTTTATGTTAATTTAAAAAAAATAATATTAATATTTCTTTTTAGTATATTGCTTTTTTTTTATTCTATTATCATTTTGGCCATCATAATCATCGTCTTCGTTATCGTTATTGTTATCGTTTAATTTTTTGTTATTTGTTGGTGGTTTTCTATTTGATTTTAATTTACTGGTATTTTTAGATATAGGTTTAGAAATATTGGTTGATTTTCTTTTTCTTGAAGGTTTTTCATTATCACTATTATCTTCATCATTGTTATTTTCCATTTTATCTAATAGGGTTTGTCTTTCAATTACAAACTCTCTTGATTTTGCATCTTTAAAATGAATACCTAAACGAATTTTATCAGCTTTGACTTTCTTTTGATATTTTAATACAGTCGATTCATATTTCTCTAATTGAAAAGTAATTGTTGGCATTAATTTGGCTTCCCTATTTATTCTTGCTTTTTCTAGAGCATTTAATTTACTTGTATTCTTTTTGGTTGAATCATCTCTCCATTCAGAAAAATCATAAATATTTGACGACAATAATGATGATAAATCTACTAGTTCTTTAATCCTATCATTTACATTCGTTAAAAATAACATTAACTATTTTTTAAAAGTAATAATAAAATTAATATTAATATTTTTTTTTATAGTTATGAAGGGTTAATTATAAATGATACATACCAAATTAATATAGCTTGTTAATACTGTATATAGTTTTTTAATTAATTTTAAAAACTTTTCACGTGGTGAACCTATAATTTTACAAATTGAAAGGTGTTGTAAAACTTTACAGCAGTTTTGAAGATTATTGCATATTATTTCTCTGTTTTTAATTAAAATATGACTTTCGGATTCTGATAATTTACCACCATTCCAATCTTTTTTCAAATGAGATATTAATTCTTTTGATTTATCGATACATGATTCTTCATTTTCAATTAAAATATTAATTGTACTTGAAACTGTTTTTTCATTAATTAGAGCTAAAACTTTGGGTGGGTGATTACCATCATATAATACATCGGATTTGAATGAACCTAATAATGCTAAAACATATTTTGATAAGGTCTCGGTAATGGATTGATCTTGTTTATTGCACATATCGATGATTGAACGTAGGATGGTGGTTGCTAATGCTGGTGAATCGATTTTGTTTTTGCTTGATATGTTTTTTAAGAAAACGAATGATGGTCTAACCTCATCGAATTCAGTTAGATATTTATATAGATTTGTAAGTACATTAAATAACAGTTCACAGTCTGGATAGTACTCTTGAAACATGTGCGATGTAATAATTTGTTGCAATTTTTCTACCATTACAACAATAACTTTGTGACCTCTAATATTGGATGTTGGTTTAGCTGGTTCAATAAGTGGTTCTTGGTCTTGCTCTTCATCTGGATTATCTTGTTTGTCCTTTAGCTTTTCTTGATATTCTTTCAATTGCTCTTGGTACTCTTTCAATCTAATGTTATCTAAAATTGGGCTAAAAATATTATACATTACGATTTCACTTTTATTTTCAAAAACAAAAGTTACCATAAGATCGATACACGAGAGAGCTATAGTATGAATTGGTTTTTTTGGTTGTTGACCAGCATTGGATGGGGTTACCCATTCATTTTCCATAATTTCATTCATCAAATAAATTAATAAGTGTTTAAAGAATATTTCTGGCTGAATTTGAAAAAGTTGAGTGATTTGATCTTTATCCATTGATTTCTTTAAAACTTTAATACCATTGTACAGTTTTGATAATGAATTGAATAATGTTGAGTAGCTATAGTATAGTAACTCCATATGATCTGGATTGTTTCTATTGAATAAATGTTTTGGTGAGCCACAGATGGTTTTTAATAAATTATATAAACATTTTAATGAAGGGAATTGATTAAATCCTGCAATAATTGCAGAGTTATTACTGCTACTATTAAATGGGGATTTTTTGGTGGTACTGTTGGTTGTGGGTTTCTTTTTAGATTTACCATCACCATCATGATTGTCATCATCTTCATCACCAAAATTATTTTCGTCGTCTTGATCAATGGCTTTTGATTTACCCTTTTGCTTTGTTTGAATGGATGATCTTGATGATGTTTCCTCTTGATTTTCTTTTAATTTCTTTAATAGTTGATTATAGAGAGAGAATAATGATAAGATTGAAACGATTTTTGAACTATCACTTTCAGAAATTGAAATATATTCAATAAGTGATTCCATAACACCAATAAGCATTTTACATTGAAATGTCATTGCCTCAGTTCCTCTACCAGAGAATTGGAAACTTTCGATGGAACACTCCCTAATTAATGCTAAAAATGTTTCGAATTTAACTTTTAAATCATTTCTTTGAATTGAATCTTTTCTTGGTTGATGTTGTTGGCTTGATGCTATTTGGGTTGAGGGAGCTGCTTGACTGTTTGAAACTTGATTATTATTTATATTGTTTGTTTTTGAAATACAAAGTTGGATACAATATATTAATTTATCTAATGGCTCAGAAACGATGGTGGTGTTTAGTGATTTCATTTCAACACACTTTGCCAAGTCGAATGGTGATCTATTACTGCCAGTTATATCAATGTATTGGGAGAATTGATGGGATAACATTTCGAAAACATGATCACATAAATCGGGTCTTGTGCTAACTAAATCGGTTAGGCCTTGATAAAGTAATGATCTAATTGATTCCTGTTGAGTTAAGGCTCTTCTGAGAATACCAAAAATTTCTAAAATAACTTGGTCCATTAGTCTGCCATTGCTGGACATTGCGTCAGGAGATGATAAACACTTGAGTAATTGTAGGAAACCAGTTACACCAGCAGATCTAGCTTCAATTTCACGCGCAAACATTGATTTCTTTAAAACAACAATAATTGCATTTAAAAAGTTACTTTGAATTAAAAATATTCTATCAAATGCATTCACCAATTGCTGTACGGTGTTTGTCGAGTAGTGTTGTAAATACTCGAATGATTCTTTGAGTTTTGAGTACCTAACATCAGCAGTAAATGTTTTACAAATCTTTGATAAAAGAATAAACCAGTTTTGTGGAATTGTATCTGATTTCATAATAATACGCGAAAGAATTTCATCTAAAATAGTTTCTCTAATAGATTGGTGACCCGAAAAGAGTTCGAATAATAAGTTTAAACCCATAGTACGAAGTGCTTTGACAGTATCGGTAACAACTATCAATTGGTAGTCCATAAGGGTGATGGCAAATTGGACACAGGCATCAACAATAATATCTAAACCCTTAGTAGTTGAGTTTATAGTTTCTTTGAAAACATCAAAATTTGACGTTGAGGATTTGACAAAATCTATTGCTAAATGTTTAAGGCAATCGAAGGCACTTGGTTTATACCTTGCAATTCTTGAAATATTCATTAATAAAGCTATATTAAATTGAGTTGGTACCTGTTTAAGTTTTAAATATTCTTTTGCTAAATCCATATCTTGCTTAATTGAAATATTCAATTGTTGAAAAATAATTGATTCGACACAAAACAACTCGTTTAAATTATTTGATTCTCCATGATTATTTATCATTTTAAAGCTACTAGTATAGTTATTATTGTCATTGTACCCCAATTCTCTATCTTGTTCACTTTTTTCGATATTTGAAAATAATTCACAAATTCCTTTCATTATAACACCTTTTAACCCCTTTGATGATAATAAAATTAATTGGTGAACTAAAGAAATGTATTCATCTTTAATTAAATCTTTTGATTCGCTAAAAAAATTAATAAAAAAAAATTAGGTTAAAAGTTTTAATTTTAGATATTTATAAAAATAATGATAACTTACTTAAAAATTTTATTAATAACTAATTCTAAATCAGACTTATTTAATTGTAAATCATTGAGCATTGAAATAGTTGATATGAAAATTTCTTTATTCCATTCTGATTCAACAATTTTTTTAATAATTTGAGATTTGAATGACTCATCACTCTCCATACTTGCTGGGGTACTGAGGAAGGATAGTTGTTCTAATGATTTTGGTAGTAATAAAAGTATAGGTGCTCTTCGATTTGAATGTAGGGTATCTGCAATACTTTCTGCTATATCTCTGTAGGACTGTCTGTTGATACCGTCGCATTCTGATAATAAAATATCTACACACTGGTTTAGTTGTTTTTCTTCAATGCCACTCTTATATTGAATAATTTGTTTAACAAACTCTTGAAGTATTTCGCCACGAATTAGTTTTTGATAATTTTGGTCACTTTCAGCTGTTGTTGATTTCATTACGGCTTTTATATAATCGAATGCTGATTTTTTTTCATTTAACCTTTTTTCGACAAATGATGCGATCTCTTGATAGTTTTCTTCCATTGATTGTAACATACCATACATAGTTTCAGGGTCACCAACATTGGCTATGGCAGCAATATTATTTCGTCTTTCTATTTGTTGTTGAGTTGATAAAACATTATCATTAAAAAACTGGGATGGACTACTACTAACTATATTATTAACTATTGGTTTTTTTGATTCCTCTATTAACCATTCATCAAATCTTTTACCACTATTATTATTTATAATATTAATTTTTCTTTTTTCGTTATTGTTATTATTATTATTATTATTATTATTATCACTATTATCACCATTGTTATTATTGTCATCATTATTATTGCTATTATTATCGATAGTATCATCATTTTCACTGCTTGATGAGGATTCTTTTCTCTTTTTTTCTTTCTTTCTTTCTTTCTTTTCCTTTTTTTCTTTCTTTTTCTTTTTCTTTTCCTTTTTTTCTTTTCTTTTCTTTTCTTTTTTCGTTTGTTCCTCTTCTTCATCCTCTTCACTATTTTCTAAATCATCTTCATGTTCCTTTTCTTCTTCTGCATTTTCATCTATAATCTCTTCTTCATCCATATTAACAATTATTATTTATTACAATTTTTATTATTTATTAATTATATATATATATTATTTGTTTAAAGCGTATGAAAATAACAAGACAAAATACAAAAACAGTTGTGTGTTTCATGAATGAATCGTGAAATTAATCTTCTTAGAAAATTGTAAAAATAAAGAAAAAAAATTAAAAAAAAATAAAAATTAAAAAAAAAAATAAAAATATTATTTTTTTTTTTTTTTCGAAATTAAATTTGCAAAAATAAACTCAGTTTAATAATAAAACACAACCAAAAATAGAAAATAATAACAAAGGAATTATATCATCATAAAAAAAAAAAAAAAATTTATTTTTTATTTTATTCCAAACACATGGAACAGCTTTGTGTATTTAATTATGTTATATTTATTTGTGTGTTTTTGTGGGTTGTGTGTTTTTTTATTTTTTTTATTTAAATAATATTCACATAAAATTTTTTATTTTGATAATTATAAATATATCTAAATATATTCCCACACACAAGAAGCATTCCTTTTGATTATTTTTTATAAAAAAAAAATTTTAAATATAAAAATAGATTTATTTTTGTATATATATTTTTTTTTTTTTCAAATTTATTTCATAAAAATAACAACAAAAAAAATAAACTAAATAAATTTACTAAATAAAAAATAAAAAAAATAAAAAAAATAAAAAAAATAAAAAATAAAATTAAAAATACTATTTTTGAACAAATAAACTATTTTTTATATTTTTTAACTTTAAAATATTTCTCTATACTATTTTTTTTTTTCTATTTTCTTTTGTTTATTAATAATGGATACCAGTTTTAATTTACAACAGATTTCAAACAAAAACATAACTAATAACTCCAATATCCAAACTTTCTATCCAGATATTTCAAGACTCTTAAATAGTCAAAGATTTCATTTGGATGAAATAAATAAAATATTAAAATCAGATCCCAGTAACAAAAATTTATTAGATAGACATTTTTCTTTCTTATCAAAAATCGAAGAGCAGCAAAATCATTATATTATGCAAGCTTCACCAAATTCATTTAATCCATCATTACATACAGCTAAAAATGTACAGGCTTTAACAACCCCAAATCTTGAATATAATAATATGAATAATAAACAAAAAATTATCCCCCCAACCACTGAATCACTATTACCACCCCATATACAACCTATAATCTCACCAAACCTCAAAGAATTATTTCAATCAAATGATGTTCTTATTCAACAAAAAAAACATCAAAAATCTACCCAACCACAACAAACAAGCAATGCACCAAATAAATTAAAAGGAAAATTCAAACCAAAAACACCTCCACAATTTACATTTTCAAAAAATTTAGTTCAATTAATGGAAAACAACGAGGACAACACCATACATTCAACTTTAAAGAGAAGAGGAGAACTTTATCCAATGCACCAAGTTAATAATTCAAAAAAAATCAAAACCTCTGATGATGGAAAAGAGAAAACTTCCATTGGTAACAATAATATAATTTTTGGTGAACTAAAAGAACACTTTGAAAACTTTCTACTTAAAAGCTCAAATAAAGAAAGTGGAAAACCATTTTTCACTAGCCCATGTAAAAGATTTGTATTATTTAATTGTTATATGTATCCATTTCCAAAGCAACTAAGTTCTGGTCGTCCACCCAAATCACCAATTGTAATCGTCGATTTAAAATATGAAGAAAATGAAAAATTGGAAATTAAAATCAGGGTAGAAGAAAGTAATTTTAACATCTCCTCAGATACCACTTGGAAAATGACCGAACCTGGTATATACGAAGTCTACCCCTCTGTAAAAATTGATAATAATCATGAAAAAAACTTTCATATTGTTTTTCAAGTTAATAGAATCAAAATGATTTCCTGTCAATTGTCAAAAGTCTGTGAAAATCCCAACCAAGACTGTCTTCCCTGTTCCTCTATTGAAGTCTATGAACTTGTTACATGCTTTAAAATCCCATCTATCGAGTTTGTCAACAATACAAGTAATTTATCCAATCCAGTTAGACCAGAGTTAAAACAAATAAAGTGCGATAGCGATAAAGTTTATTTCTGGTGTATTTGTGCAAACGAATTTAAAAAAGGTAAAAAGAAAGGAAAAAAGGAAGGATATCCTCTTTCTGTTGTTTTTAAACCAATGTCTTACACTGCTGGTTGTGACGTCACTGTAGATCAAAATCAAATAGATTTTCTAAGTCAAAACGTTATCTCATTTTATGCACCCCTTGGTGGTAAAAAAGGTCTAGTTATTGGTTTAAAATACAGTGTTGAATTCAAAGCAAATAAAAAAGAAACAAATGCCCCAATTACAATTGAAATCAAACAAATTAAATAGTTGTAATACTACACAAATCATACATTGTTTTAATTTAAATAAATATTTTTTGTTTTTATTTTATTTTTTTTTGTTTTATTTTTTTTTTTTTTTTAATTGAATTATTGCTTCAACATTTTTTTTATTTTTATCATAAAATTTTATTCTCGAATAAACAGCAATCCTCTAGTTCGGTTCGGAGCTTTAATCAATTGTTTGTGACAATGAGTCATTGTCACTAACAATTGATAACGGTAAACCATAAACTAAAAATACATTATCCTAAAAACTTTGCTGCTTCCACTGCTGTTTTGTTACCTCTACCCATAATGAAATCATTATCTGATGCTTGTGTATAGTGTTTTGATTTAATTATTTAAATAATATTTTTTAATTAATTTTAAATAATCATTTTTTTGTGAGTTTCATTGTATAATAATTTCTCTCAAATTCTTTTTTTTTTTATTTAATTTTTTTATTTATTTATTTTTTATAATTAATTAAAAAATATTATTTGTATAATTAAATTGAATAATTAAATTGAACAATTATAGTTTCTTTAGGAATGAATATTAAAATAAATATTTATAGTTATTATACTTTCCTTAAAGTGGTCTTTTAGATTAAATTTAATTATAAAATCTATTATTATAAAATCTATAGTGGCTATATTAGTTAAAAATTATTATTATTTTAATTTTTAATAATGATGTTCTCAATTTTTTATTCCTTTGTAAAAATTTGGAGAGTGTGTTTTTTAAATTAAATTTTTTTTTTTTTTTCAAAATTTTTAAAAGGTATATTTTGATCCAACTGCACAATAAAAATTTTTCTTTTTTATTAAATTATTTTACACACCAATTTTTATTATTATTTCTCTTATTATTTCTCTTATTATTTGTAAATTCTTTTTATTTTCTTTTTTGGTTAATCAAGATGGATGATAATATAAATTTTAATAACGATTTCAAAAAAAAATATATAAACTTTTTTTTTGGGAAAAGATAGAATATTGTTTATAGGAACTTTTGTTCCATATAAAACAACAAATGAAGAAAAGAAAAGAAAAAATGAAGAGCTAGATGAAGCCAAATTAAAATCCAAATAAAGACTCACCAATAACATCTTATTAAATTGGTGAAGTCCAGAAACACCTAATATCATTATCAAAAAGATGAAATTTATATCCAAATAGAGACGAAACTAAAATTGAACCTTGTAACATCACCAACAAGTCTTAAATAATATATTAATAAAACATACTATCAAAAAATTAAATTTTTTATATAAATAAATTTTAAAATTATTTTTAACAATTTTCACATAAATGTGTCTTTTTTTATTAATTTATTATTTTTTTTATTATTAAATTAAAACATCATTTATTAGTGGTTGTTAAGTCACCTTTCTTATTATTTAAAAAATAAATTTCTAATTATCTAATAATTTTTATTTTATTTTTTTATTGTTTTAAATTTATATTATAATTAATTTATTTTGTTTATAAAAATATTGATTGGTCTAATTGTGCATGGATCTGGTAATAAAGGATCTTTACCTTCTCTTCCTAAAACTATTTTATTTCTATCATAGTTGCTTGGCCAGAGCAAATTATTGATATTCGTAAAATATTTGATTATATTGATTAGCCTCAATAGTGTAGACTTGAAAGTTGGTTCTAGGTATCATCAAACCAATGTTTCTTTCATACATAATAAACGTGCACCAATGTCTATAAGAGCTATTATAGAACGCTATATCAACTAGCTAACACTTTTTAATTTGTAAAATCAAATTCGATATTACTGCAGTCGGTTTGGGTTTTGATTCAGCTGATTTATCAGTTATTAAAAATGAGGGCGAATGGATGAAATGTGTTATTTTTAATTTTGTTTCTGTGACTGGGTGACTAATTACGATGCTTATTACTTATCTATGAGAAAATTTGTATTAGATGCACGATTCTAAAGCTTTGTTTGATCCAGAATCTAAACTACTACTATTTGATATCAAATATTCTACATTATTACCTGGTGATATTCTACACTACTCGATTTAGATTTATTTGATTCAGACTCTAAACCACCATTATTTGATAAAATAAACTATTTGCGTTATGAATTAGATTCTACACTACCTGATTCATATTCTACACTAGTTGAGGTTTATAGAAACCCACACGATTTACGAAACCTCCATATAAATCATTCCTTAGTTCCACTTGATGAAAAATGCTCTGTATTACCACCACATAATGAAATAAACAACACAAATTTTAAAGAATAGCTACAACTTGGTGCAATAGATTCTATTCTAATATTTGATGACAGGCTTTGCATTACGACCACAAATACCAAAAATACAATAGATATTGCACAACTTGACGAAACAGGTCCCAAATTATTTGGTGAGTTCGGAATATATACCACTTGATACAACTTTTAGAGTCTGAATCAAATAAATCTTTTAGTTGCTTTTTATTTTATAATACTTTATTAATAATGCTATAGAGAAAGCAAATAAGAAATCTTCTAATGCATATATAAAAAGATTAATTAATGAAAAATCTATTTTATATTATATATATATAATTGGTGTTTGAATAAATGATATGAATCTTCACCCAGTTTTTCTAAATCTTCAATATTTGAATACTTGAGACATTTCTTTATAACTTCATAGGTAATCTTTGGGTAGTCTGCTCTGTTTGAATTAAACTTATATAATACCTCTCGAATATTACCGATATTTAATGTTTTTAAAAGTAGCAGAACATAATTTGGTGGTGATTTTAATTCCTCTTTAATTAAATTTCTATATGATGATGGTGGTGGAAGTGTTATATTACCATTATTAATTAAAAAGCTATTACTGTTTTTATTGTTGCAACCGCTACTAACGCTACTTCCATTGCTATCATTACTACTTCAACTTGCGCTTCGGGCTAAACTGATACTATTATTATTTAGATTGCTATATTCACTAACACTATTTAAATTATAGTTACTATTACTATTTTGTAAACTGAATGTTGTAGGTTCTGGTGCTGCTGTTGTTGTAATTTCTAATAAACTCCATATTTTCTTTTGACTTAAAAGCCCAATGATCTTATGTTTAAATTTATTTCTATAAAAGTAGAATTGGTTTATTGTGGTTGCAGCTGCGGTTGAAAATGTTGGATGGATCTATTGTAATGTTTCTTTCTGCAATATCAATTGTACCACGAACTAAAAATATCATTGTTTAAAACCATTTGAACTATCTCTAATTTCTAATACATACAATATTTTATTTTTTTTATTTGATTTTAATATCTTTAAATCTGAAACTAATGGTCCAATAAAACCAATATCTAAAAATAAAATGAAAAACTAATTAATTTAATTTTGTAAATAAATAGGTATGGTATCATTTAAATATGTGTATAAACTTACTTTTTTATTCAGCAACTCTTAACTGATAGACAGAAGGTAATGCAAAACTTTTGTAATTATATACCTCATTATGTACCATAATAATACATTCAGTATATGATGGTCTATAAATAAAATAAAAAAAAAAAATTCAAAAAACTCAAAATTAATTATTTTATTTTTTTTTTAATTTTTTTTTAAAAATAAATTATTTTAAATAACATATTTTTTTTTTTATCACTCTTTTCATTTACATATATTTGTTTTTTTATTGTTTTTTTTTTTAGTAAATATATTTTAAATAAAAAAAAAAAAAAAAAGTTAAAAAATAATAAAAACTTAAAAAAGATGCGATTGTTTGTTCCTATCAGCTTTTCAACAAATACTGAAACAGATGAAATGGAAATTGAATTTAATATTGATCCAAATTTAATTTTTTTACTTAGTCCAACTTAAAAATGATGAAGGTTAACAGAACTAGAGAATTAAAACTAGTTTTCATCTTATTGATAAATGATCACCCGAAAGATAAAAAAAGTAAGCGAAATAAAAATCGGTTTTTCATCCCTAAAAGTTGGAAATGGACGTGATGATATATAAAAATTATGCTTGCTCCATATTCGCATTATAATTCACCAGACCAATTAACGTTAGACCCTCTTAATTAAGTCTTAAATGAAATTATTATTTGGTAGCGCATTAATTTTTACAAATTGAAACTATTTTCAAAAAAAAAATTTTATATTGAGCATATAAACTTATATTTTATGGGAAAAACTAAACACTACTAGTTAGTTTTTAATTAAAAATTATAATAAAAAAAAAAAGTGTGTGGTGGGATTATAATTTAATTTTTTATTTTTTATTATTTATTAATTTTTTTTTTTTTTTTTGAAAATTTTTTTTTTTTTTTTTTTTTTTTTCCAATCATTCTTTATAATTTATAAAATAATAGAATCAAATAATAATACTTAAAAAAATAACTTTAAAAAAAAAGAAAACTTATTAAAGGTGGAGATTATAGGGATGAGCCATTAAAAGCAACACAAGCTTACCTCGAATCGGGTTAGAAATTAGAAGAGATTATTGGAAGGTGTTGGTATGAAAAATATAGAAGCTTTAAAAGAAATTATAGATTCTTTATTATAATTCAATAATAATAAAAAATAAAATAAAAAAAAATAAAAAAAAAATAATTAATTTTTGTATTTCAAAATTTCTGCACACACAATAATAATAATGATATTAATAATTTATTTATTAATCACAAAAAAGAATGCTATTATAGACAAATTTTATAAAAAAAAAAAAAAGCTATTACATTTGTAAAATAAAAAAATTGATTTTATAAATAAAAATAATATAACAGTCTCTCAAGTTTCCCAATCACACACGAATTGATGTTACCGTGCCCTAATAATTTAAATAAAAGAATCAAATAATAATACTTAAAAATTATAAAATTATTAAATCTTTTAAAAAAAAAAATAAAAATAAAGCAGAAATAATTTTAAGCTTTTTTATTTTATATTTAGAGAATTAAAATTATCTTATTCTTAGTTTTTACCTTATTGGTAGCTAAATTCATTTAAAAACCAATGTAGTCTTCAGACACATTTCTTTTTTTATTTTAATTTATATGAAAAAAAATAAAAAAAAAAATAAATAAATTGACACAAACACTGATATATTTTTA